ACCGAGTCCGAAGTCGTCTGCCATAGTAGTTGTCTTGATTCCTAGCATCTGACCGTGGACTTGATACATCTTCAATTTAACGGAAAAGGTTGGCTCAACTCATACGATTGTGGAAAAATTCAACTAGCAATCGTAATATGATGAATACAACTCATATATGGAATTTAGTCAACCTACATTCCTTAAGTAGAGTTGCAAAGTGATGATCAAGCTTTTCCAACACTCGACCGAGTGTATGAAAACTCAACTGCCAGTCCTAGGTCGTCTTGAGCGACCTGAGCCGACTAAGTTATTGTACGGTTTATGCGTCCTTTTCCGGTTTCAAGCCTGCTCAGCGGCCCTTTTACCCACCCTTTGGTGGGCCTGAGATGGCCCGACGTTGGATCCCGTCACCTGCACGGTTCGACGCCCCGGAAGAGCCTGGCATAAACTGATCCGTCTGCGATCTGCTTCTGTTCGCCCATTTGTGCGAGGCTGCCTCGGGACTAGTCGCGGGGATTCGACAAAATCTGGCTTCTTGACAGAAGATATGCATTAGTAACTGCCGCATAGCTCGAGTGTCCTTTCCGCATGAGAGCCAAGTCAATTGCGAATTTCGTTACACACTTTTCGAGTGCTTCTTTTGTGTCGATTTCAGTTAGTTTTTTGCTTGAGTCCCACGATTCTCTTGCGTCAACTACCTTCTCATACTTTGTCAACTATTTCCGGGCGCGGTGATCGAATGAAGCCTGTGCATGTAGCACTTTTATATCGGCAAATTTGCTAGCCTCTGCACTTGGTAGTCAGGGCGAGGCTGAGAGGAGCTGGAGACAGAAAGAAGTGCAAAGCGGAGGACGATTCTTCTCAAAGTCGCCTACTCGGTTGCCTGGACGAGGCGCAACTCTAGTCTGGAGGATCATATGAGAGGAATCGAGTCGAGATATGCGCCCATGTGTTGAGGCTCAAGCGAGCCCCGGTTCGGGAGATCACGAGGTCTGTCTGGCTACCGGAGTCAAGGCGACACAATAAGCCTTTGGGTCATTTTCCGATTTAGTAGGTTTTAAAACTGCCAGTAAATCTTGAATAAGACTTCTTGTCACCCTGGCTCGCGTAAGGTGATTAGGGACGGATAGTTGAGTTTTCCCACAAGGATACGTTTTCAGTGGGTTTCACATCGCCTTGCTCTCCAGAAGGTATTCTCATTCAGGCAGGTACGGACTGCAGTTTCGACCTCGCCCAAGTCTCATCTACACCACTCAGTGGAACTCGAACTCCGCAAGTGCAGTGTATATTCTCGGCAAGTTGTCATAACGACTGCCAGTATCGACTAAGTAAACTTGTACTTGCTATTACAATTGACTGCATTACTTCTACTTCTACTAAAGTAGAGGCTTCTAAACAACATTTACCGACAGTTTCGAAGTTTAATCTAAACGAATATAAATATCATAAGTGAGTGTGATGATAACAAATAATTTTGCCTTGTCGACAATCCCACATCTACCCAATGTCCCAAAGACACTAGGGGCAGCATAGCGTATTGGTTACGTCTTGAGTTTATGCGATCATATCATTGTGAGAAGAATTCAACTATCAGTTCTATATCACCCTGTGCGACCTTGGGTGAGTATGACTCTTATTCAAGATTTACTGATAGTTTCGCAAGCCTACTTTATCTGAATATTAAATTGATGAATAATTTAGCAGAAATTGCAAAGCATGCTAAGGAAGAGATAATCGCGAAAGGAAAGAAGAAAGCGGCTTTTGTTTCATACTGCCCTGCTGCACAAAGAGATTGCAATAAATTTCACCTGCCAGTGCTGCTCCATTTCAACTTCATTAACTAAATCAGGCTAAAGTCTGACAGGGAGTTCAGAGTATAAGTCCAGCCATACTTATCGAAATAGATTATCAGTAGTATGTAAAGCAAAACTAAAGGCCAAGTATTCTTTTGACGCTGTCGGATCTGTCAGTAAAGGAATGTCAAAACCAGAAAGTGTCTATTGATAGAGAAGAGTTTAGGGTTTGCTCGACACCTCTTGAAGGTAAAAGTTTGGCTAGACGATCTTGAAAATATTCCTCTCCATCTGATAGCTTATTCGCTCACCTGCCAACTCCAAAACGACGAATGCGCAAGAGGGTGCTTCTTCCAGGAAAAGAAGATCTATTGCAGTTTCCTCTATCCCAATTTCCTAAGAACCGAATCTGAAAGTAATCACAGATTTGTTTCTACAAGAAGGTCAAAATAGCATCCTTGGTGTTCATTTAAAGCCATTGGTAATATCATCTATCATGGCTTGAAGGCTCTCAGTTGAACAGAGCATCATTTTTAGTGCAATATGGCGATTACAAGAAAGGCATGCTACCTTGCCATCACTTTTTACCTTAT